CCCCCCAACCAGGGGGGGGGGGGGGGGGGGGAAGGAAAACTCCTGGGGGGTTTTCGTAGGAAAGAGACCAACCGTAAGAAAGATATTGACTCACAGATGACGAAAAGTGGCTTTTTTGTTGCTTGCGATGCTCCATTTCGCCATTTAAAAACATGAAATTAGCAGTCGTTCAATTAGGCTAAGAATGCTTGCTCCGCTACCGTCTCCCAGTGTTGCCGGATACCGTGCCGAAATCATGCCAGATTCAAGATTGTTTCAACCTTCGTATTGGCGTCTGGATCTTCTGTTTTTTAATGCATGAAACATTTTTTTTGCTGAGTTCATGGGTTGAGCTGAGAATGAAGCGGCGGTTAGCAGTTATTAATCGATGTGGTGGGATATGCAGATATCTTATCCGGACATCCCTGAATTAATAGGATGGCGCGTACCATGGATTCCATGCTTTCTTGAAGGGATCTTTCCTCAGTCCTATTCGAGATGATTCGAGGAACTCCAGATAGGCCTAACGTTCTACGTCCCACTGAAATGGTTCACGAAACGCGAAACAGACCTCCAATCGGTCTAACGTTACACGTCCACTCTGAAATGGTTCGTGATAGTATGATAGGCCTGCGATCGGCTTAACGTTATACGTTGTCAACCAGATGCCTCGAAGACCACGATTCACTCTTATAGGCCTCTATTGGCACCGTAGGTCGAGAATTGCGTTTCTTTTGAAAAGAAAAAGGTAGGGCTTGGCGTGATCTGAAGGCAGTCTGTTGGTTAGGCCCAGGCCTAACGTTAGTGAGTCCCGTAGAGAATGATGGAGGGTTGGAGAAAGGGAAAGTCGTTGAAAATTGGTTTTCACGTTAATACATATCATATTGGCTCCATCCTTTTCATCACGATGATAAATCAAAGATAATCCCCACCACTGAATCGCTGATGATCTCGCCCTTGCAATTCAGTCAGTGCCCCGAGATCGAAGACACACTGACGCGGACTCGAACGGTACTTTCAGTACTGGCATCCCCTCCCTGACCTTAGTGACAACAATCGCTCCGACGTGCCTTAATCCTTTGCTTTCCGTGGAGAAAAAGTAAGGCACGATCATACCACGAAGCCCTGAATCAACCGAGCTAACCCAACCGTCTGAAATTCAGAAAACCTTTCTGGAACGGGGCGAAACGAGAAACGAGGGAAATCTTCCTGAAATTTCCTCACGACCAAAACGGCTTCCTCCTGCCGAGAAAGCAATGGTCCAAAGCGATGATCCAAAGCGATGATCCAAAGCGATGGTCCAAAGCGATGGTCCAAAGCGATGGTCCAAAGCGATGGTCCACGTCCATTCGGCAGCCCCAGAAGCAATCGGATGGCTAACTAACCGAGACACTGAAATTTAATTGTTGCAATCCGAAATGCTATAAGAAAAAAGAAGGCGGAAATACTAAAACTGCTTTCTGCAAATTAGCGGGGGAAAAATTGAGCGTTGGCAGGAAGGAGCCTTTTCTTCGCTCTTGCCTGCCGGACGACCAAAATCAAGAGTTAGGCCATCAAGGCCGATGTTAAAATGTCGAATGGTAACGCACCAAGGCTCGATGGGATTGTCTGTCGAGTTCCATCAAGCTCTGGGAACATCTTTCTCATTTTTGACAGTTTTTCCAGGAATCTTCGATGGGCGAGCCTCTTCCTCTCGACACTGGATGAGAACTGAGCGAACGCGGGGAGACGACAGGCCCCTCCTTCGAAGCGCATCAACGACAAAAGGCGCATGCGCAAGTCGAGGATAGGCCTATATATTCTCGCTTCGGAAGGGACGAACTTACTGGCCTGACAACACCACCTGGTGGCAGGCCGCGGACCCACCCAACCCCAAGACCTCCACACCACCTTACAACCCCAAGACCTGGACTTCAACAACCTCTAAAGAAGCACCATCTGTCAATAACCAATCCTGTATATTCCACTTCCTCGCATCTTGTATCCTTTTCCTGTAAAGGGCATGTAGTATAATAAATGGTCATTGAACAAAAAAAGGACGAACTTTTCACCATAAAGCAGAGTATAACTAGGCTAGAGGCTTCCACTCCGCTCAAATCCCATTCATTGACAGGGACGCAATATAGATGTCGCTGTCGATCCTCCACCTAGTGGGCGCACCATAGAGATCGTATATACCTAGAGCGGAAAGCTGGCAGCGCTAGGCTGGCACAGGCTGTGTGGAATTGACGCCATATTGGCCGGGTCACCTACTCGTCCCCTCTCCAATGCAGCGCCCATCTGGCCTTCTTAATCGCTTTTCCGCGCTTCTCACAGGAGTTGTTTGGCATTACATATCGAAAGAGGATCAGGTTAAC